CATCAGTGCAATAATGAACCCTGTGCTTATTTCCTAACAATCAAATGCCCAAGAAAAGCAAGCTAATTTGTTCACTTGTGGACTGGGGAAGCCTCCCACTCAAAGAAGCCAATAGATTTTACCTCTTAAGGGAGCTCTGTTCGTAATGACCGGCTTGCTTGTCTCATCCATGGGGATTACGACATCCTTTTCCTTGCCAGTCAGGACTACAACTAATTTTTTTGACATTCGTGGGAAAGCTATTGGTTACTGATAAGAAAGCTTTGCAGAAAGTGGTGTTCTTGAAAATTCAAGAACTCTATCAAGAAGATAAAGTTCTTGCATTTCTCGCAGGTATGGACAAGATGTTGTAATTCCTCATTTTTAAGTGAGAGGATGAGGCAAGAAATGATTTACATATTATCGGCAGCCTCTCTCTCTTTCTGTCTGCGACAGTCACTTTTAGAGTTTTCTATAAACCTTTTATGACATCAAAGTGTGATTCTGCACTATTCAGAGAGCCAGCTATACTCTTTCCTGAGCTGAAGTGACATAGGAGTAGTCATCCACAGTTTAGTTACATCACAGCTTGACTACTGCAATAATGCTCTACGTGGGGCTGCCCTTGAAGATGGTCTGAGATCTTCAACTGGTGCAACTTCTGAGAGCAAGGAAGATAAGTGGTGCATAGTATCATGATCACATGGTCCCGATACTGAAATAGCTGTGCTGGTTACCAATTGCATAATTCAAGGAGCTGGTTTTAACCTTTAAAGCCCAGAGCAGCTTGGAGCTTGGCTATCTAAAGGACTTTGTGAGCTTGTCTATATTTTAAGATCTTCAGGGGTGTCTGTCTTAAAAATATCACAAATTTCAGAGACTTCTCTGTGTGATTTCTAGACTCTAGAATGAATTGCCTTCTGAGTTACAATCTATTCCTACTCTGGCTAATTTTAATGAGTCAAAACACATCCTTTTAGACCCACATATGATGTGTAATTGGCCCTAATGTGTTACTTTTTATCTGCATCATTGGCTGGTTTTAAATGTATTTTGCTTAACCTTGAATATTGTTTTTTTTTTTTAGATAATTAAAAAAGGGCATACTACTGTGATTCATGTCCTGTAATTTCATGTGTTTGCCTGTGGAACACTTTTAAATTGATGTGTTCTCTCTGTTTACTGTTCATGCTGAATATAATATTATTCATTTCCAACCGCTTATCCTTATGTACCAAAGAATAAAGACACATTTTGTTTCCTACTACTGAATGTGCTTGCTAATAGTTTCTGTTGCATCTATTTACCTTGAGGTTTATCTATTCAAGCATTCCATAAAGTTATATATGCACCTATTTTACTGTCTCTGCTCTGTTGACCTGAACACTTTTTTTAAAAACCAAAACAGTATTACGTCTGTATGGAATTCTATATCCATTATTAATTACAAAACAAAACCATTGCTAGTGCATTTGTTTGTTTATTTATTCTGTACAGGTTCCTAAACAAAGGCTAAGTAAAAAGATCTTCCCTTATATTAAAAATAGAACTGTTTTAACTGACCATACTTCTCTCTTGAATTGCACAGATCTGAACAGTCCTGTTTTGGTTATGCACAGATTCCCCCCCCCCCAAATATTCCAATAAATAAGTATTCAGTACTGTGCCCCTGGATAGCCAGAACTTGACCAACGGCACTAGAGTGGTCTAAAAGGTAAAGGTTCCCCTTGACAATTAAGTCCAGTCGTGTCCGATTCTAGGGGCTGGTGCTCATCCCCGTTTGTAAGCTGAAGAGCCAGTGTTTGTCCATTTACGCTTTCCAAAACAATGTCCCTAATTCAGGAGGTCATAAGGACCTTTAAGGCTCTGATGACATTGTATGGAAAGGATGGTCAATGCTATGGAAGAAAACCCCAGTAGAGAGAACAGTTCTCTTTCTTTCTCTCTCTCCCACCCTCTCTCTGTTAATCAACTATTTATGCTTTGCAGTTACATTGTGGGAGTCCTAATAGTTATACACGGATTTTGAACTACGTGGAGATAAAGTGGCCCTAACTCCAGCATTGTTGAAGGGAGAAGTGTGCTGGAAAACAGAAAGCTTGTTCTTGAAAATAGGACAAAATTCATTATATTACATGGGGAGAAAAGTTCAGCAATTTAACAGATTCATGTCCTTAATGCTAATTTGCACATTTTCATGTTATCCAGACTGAAATGCTCTAGTACCGTAACCATGGCTGCAATTCTTTTAGATACATACGCAAGTGGGTGAGCATGCCTGATTCTGAAGCATGAATGATGAAGCCAAGCCCCTAGAGAAATTCGGTAGTGCTCATTCCCTCACCCACACAGCACGTAACCAGAGCCAGAAATCATTTTAGTGCACTCTTCTTTTAGTGTTAATTTCAAGCCACATGAATTTGAGTACTGGCAGTAATAAGCAACAATACAATAATAATAATAATCCAAATCATCCTGACCCAAGCGAGTTGTTAAAATGTTGTCCGTGCATGAGTTAAGCATCTCACAGCCCCACCAAGAGGTCTCAACAAAAATAGCAAGTTCAGTTGTCCTGGGTGCTGTACTGAACTTAACTATTTCAGGAGCAAGCAATGGGATGGTGTGTTTGTTCGGGGGGGGGGGGGGAGGGCCAGTAATTAGCAAATCCTTTTTCTGGAGTTTGGGATGGAAAGTTCCCACCATGCTTTCAAGGGAGCATGCTTGAGACCCCACCTTGCAGCTGACTTTGCACCTCTGTCTTAATTCATTTGTTGTTGTTTAGTCATTTAATCGTGTCCGACTCTTCGTGACCCCATGGACCAGAGCACGCCAGGCCCTCCTGTCTTCCACAGCCTCCTGGAGTTGGGTCCAATTCATGTTGGTTGCTTCGATGACCCTGTCCAACCATCTCATCCTCTGTCGTCCCCTTCTCCTCTTGCCTTCACACTTTCCCAACATCAGGATCTTTTCCAGGGAGTCTTCTCTTCTCATGAGATGGCCAAAGGATTGGAGCCACAGCTTCAGGATCTGTCCTTCCAGTGAGCACTCAGGGTTGATTTCCTTCAGAATAGAAAGGCTTGTTCTCCTTGACTCTCAAGAGCCAAATAGAATACTCCTGCTCTTATCTACTGTCACTGTTATCTTCCTCATAACTACCAAGCCCAACTCTTATTATAAGGCTCAAAGGTAAAAAACGCCAATATTCCCTATACTAACACATGTGATACTTCTGCCATCTTCTTTCACTTTTACGTCTATGTGCTTTTAAATATCCTTGTCCCTCCCTCTTGAATACCCCCCCCCCAGACCTTCTCTCTCTTCCCTCATCCTTGCTCAAGTCTGGGGTCTATTTTCAGTCTCCCTGGAAGAAGGTTTACAACAGGGCCATAAGTGACTGTATAGAGTCAATACAGTCAAGGCATATTTACAATTTTCTGTTTGTGAAACTGGTATTTCATCCAACGTTTCATCCTGTTTCCATATGTACGATGAAGTGTTTTCTGTTTGTGAAACTGGTATTTCATCCGTTTCATCCTGTTTCCATATGTATGATGTAGACGTGTCTGTGAAAGCTGACATTAAAATATAATAGGCCTTAAGGTGTCACCTGTTTTTGCCTTTTTTAAAAAAAAAAAATCCTGTTTTCTTTGGATTTTGCCTAATACGTTTGCTCAGACTAACACAATTACCTCTTTCAAAATGAGGGCTGGATTCACTGCATACAAGCATGAACATCTGCCATGAAGTTTTGGGACATTTCCCCTCCCTGGGAGTTGACCCACAAAAGCTTTCAGTTTGTGTACTTTTTTTGTACTGTATGTGGTTCAATAAAGGTATCACTTAACTTTTGCATTTGTGTAATCCTGAACCACACAGCCTTTTTTCTAATTCTTTCTGACATTAAAAATGTAGTTTAATTATGACATATTCATTCTACCTTTCTGTTGCAGTGCATCGAACATATCATCGCAATCCTCTGGAGTAAATGAGACAGACACATTAGTCAGGTTGCGTAGGAAACGTCATAAGCTTGGTAGGACTCGAAACCAAGTGTTCCTCTATTTCTAAACCACCATTTCAGCCACATCAGCTGAAAGCCACTGCTGTACTGACAATATCACAACAAAGCAAAATCACACCAAAGTCTTCTCATACTTCTTTACACCTTCGAGTGAGATATGGAGAACCACAAATTCATTTAAGATTACAATTTGTACCAAGGAACAAATCCAGAAAAATGAAGATATATCTCACCAAACATTATTCATGGTTTCAGTATAGTATTTTTATTTTTCAATCTCATCATTTGACAAAAAAAATGACCTTAACAATCAAGGAAAGCTTCTAATTCTCTAGACCTCTGCGTTAAGATAAATGGAATAAGTGGAAGTGGCTTGGGGTCCAAGCAGTCCGGTGCTCCTACCCTAAATATTCAGGGGGAACGCCTCCTGCCCACCAGCTCCAGTCTTGAGCTGCACATGGGTTGAAGGGTATGATTTCCTTTTGGTGGGTGCTGTCAAGTCACACTCAGCTTATATCAACCATAAGAGGGCATTTAAGGTAAGGAAGATATTCAAAGAGTGTTTTTTCAAATGCTCCCCTTGCTTCCAGTTGAGTTTCCCCTAAGTCTCAGTCCATCACTTTATCCACATCACATGGGTTCTCAACAGGTGATTCCCTATTTAGTAGTCATCTCCATGCATTTAACAGGGGAAACTGTCAATACATAGACACACGGATGTATTTAAACTCATATGCAGAAGTGTGTACCTTGTGTTTATAGAATGTAAGAAATTACCTCCCAGTATGAGTACTCTCTACCCAGAAAGCCTTCAAAAGGGTCACCATAAGTCAGAATTGCTTTGATGGCACACATTAGTTAATATAATCCTAGGTATGCTTACTCAGAAGTCCCACTAGACTTCGGTTACCTCTACCCAATAATGTATAAATGTACTAGTATACCTCCCACAGACTACATGAAGTTTTTGCTGTCCGGAGAGAACCAATTAATAACACAGTCGGTGGCTAAATTTTTATTCTCAGTTTTAAGAATTCGTAAAATATACTAAGACAACCAGATGACTCAAGTTTTATACTGCTGATATGTTTTAACAGCTTACGTATTCTGTATATCTTATATAATGTTTTTATCTTTGTATTTTCAGGTCTATGACCGTATAATAATAAATAAAGACTTAGGATATCATCCTGAAGAACTAGTATGTATAATCCTTTTGATGGAAACGTAATAGAGAAAAGGTTACTAGAGTATGAAGTTCATACTGGCCCATTTATTTAACACAATCACATGAAGACATGTGTATTGCAAAAGTGCATCCATAAAATTTTGTATCTGTAAATCTAATGTACAAATATATTTAAATCAGTAGATGATTTTAAATTAGAGATTAAGGCTCACAGGGGGAATTTTGCACCAGTCACAATTTGCTTCTTGCCCAGTTCCACTGCTCCATGAAATTGTTCTCAGCAGAAGATTTCAAGGTGTCAAGATCATAGTTAACTTTATATGTTGGTTTCTCTCCAAAAATTGCAAGAGCTACATAGATCGCAAACTGTGCAGTAAGTCCCCATATCGTAAATGTAGTCTTGTGCTCTGGGTCATCGTATTCAAATGTATGTATCACGTATGTAAAGTTTCCATTTTGAAAAGTCATGGCTTTGTACTTTGAAGGACTGATAAAATACTCCAGGGGCACAAAGAACACATCACTGACTTCTTCTGGATTAGGATAGGCTTGGAATGTGTCTTCTATAAAGGCAACAACTGGCGTTACTAATGAATTAGTCTGGAAAGGAAAAAAATATAGCAGTTTCTTTGAAGCATCTGAAATAAACATAACACAACATTCTAATTTTTCTTCTTCAAAATAAGTACAGTAGGACTGCTGTATCATGGGGGGGTTGATTCCAATCCCCCCTGCAGATGCTGAAAAATGTGGATTATAGCAAACATGATTTTAATACCATAAGGTAGCTATACATAGCATGGTCTGTGGCTTCCTCTAGTGGCTTGTTCTAGTAATGACATCACGGAAATAAATTTTTCTAGCAAAACGGTCTCTGGTTCCCTCTAATATCCAGTTCTGGTAGCTTCACCTTTAGATATCTATACAATACAGTGGTGCCTCACTTTATTTTAGATATCTATACAATACAGTGGTGCCTTACTTTACGCTTACCCTGCATTACAACGAATCCGCTTTACAATGATCGCAAAACGATGGTCTAAATGGGGGAATTTTGCTTTGCGATGATCAGTTCCCTGCTTCGGGAACCGATTCTTTGCAAAACGATGATTTTTCAACAGCTGATCGGCGGTTTCAAAATGGCCGCTGGGGAAATAAAATGGCTCCCCGCCGTGTTTAGGAATGGAATCCTCACTATACAGTGAGCGAAAATGGCTGCCGTATGGAGGATCTTCGCTGGACGGTGAGTTTTAAGCCCATTGGAACGCATTGAAAGGTTTTCAGTGCATTTCAATGGGTTTTTAATTTTCGCTTTACGATGTTTTCGCTTAACGGCGATTTTCCTGGAACGGATTATCGCCGTTAAGCGAGGCACCACTGTATTTCTAAATTTTTCTTTTAATATTTTTAATTGGGACTCAAGGCAGCTTCCCTATTTTTTTTTAAAAAAAGCAATGGCAAATTAAAATACAATAGAATTACAAATGTGAAAACAGGTTTAAATTCACTGTCTCGTCAAAATTAAAATTTAAATACTGTAAAATATTTGATTAAAAATGCTAATGGTCATTTATCTTTTTAAAGATCTTAACAGTTTGAGGCACTGAAAGCTAATCTGTCATGACAAGTCGCTGTTCACAGCTTTGCTTTCCACAGACAGTCCCCTGGTTGGGGACTTCTGCACACCTAACTAATATTGTGCAAGCAGTTGTGCCATGCTGACATGGTGTATGTTGTGTGATTTTGTTGTGCAACCAGTCATGCCACAGGCATCACACCAAGCAGTCCAATTACTTGTGCAACGTTGTGTACAGGAAAATCCTGGCCTTTCAGTTTATCCAGTCTCCTTTTAAATCAAACTATGTTGTCTTCGTACTTATTTCTAATAAAATGCTTTGGACAAACTGCACCTTACTTTATCTATCAAGGGGACAAGCCTACAGATGACTTCAGCCTGTTCAGGACGGAGGCCAATTTCTTCTTCGGCCTCTCGCAGAGCGGTAGCAACTTCATCTTTATCTGCTGGTTCACTTCTGCCCCCTGGAAAACACACCTCCCCAGGTGATCTTCTCAGCTGGGAATTACAAGCACAGGTTTATTAAGTATGTTTGGAGTAATATACAAGTGTATCAATGGTTTTGGTAATGTCATCTTTAGAAATAGATGTCTAGCTTTTAAAAAAAAAATACATTTTTAATATTTTCAGACTGCAGATAAGTGAATCAGTGGATACTGTGGATAAGGGGGTCCTCCTATTTACTAAAAAGCTTCTCCATCTAGGCTTTGCTGATATCTCTTGCCATTTTAACTCCTGGCCAGCGGACTCAGGAAGCACAAGGAGATCAAAGATAGTGACAAGGACCCACCTCCTCCCAGTCCTTGGCCGTTTTAACTGGCAAAGCTATTGACGGTGTTAACCAGTGCTGCAAGGGAGTAAGGCACGGTGCTGCTGCTCAAGAGCAGAGGGGTCCCTGCCTCTCAAGAGGAAGAGGCACGCCTCTTCAGCTTCCTATGTCTATCACGAGGAAGGAACCATGACAGGTAGAGGGGAATATAGGGAGTGCTTGTACATGGAGAAGGAGTGGGAGATGATGTATCAACTACCTCAATTATCCAAGCTGCACACATTACTATAACCTTTTCACTTCCCTTTATTGTGTGAGGTGGTTAAACTCCAGTATTGCAGTGGAGACTCTGCTCACAGCCTGCGTTTGATCCCAATGGGCTCAGGTGCCGGCTCCAGGTTGACTCGGCCGTCCATCCTTCCAAGGTAGATAAAATGAGTGCCCAGTTTTTTTTGGGGGGGAGGGCAATGTGTAACCTGCATAATTAACTTGTAAACTGCCTAGAGAGAGCTTTCAGCACTATGGGGCAGTATATAAGTAGCATGCTTTATTTCTTACACACTCTGAGCAGGACCCTTGCCCGCAAATAGCCACACACATTACGAATGAAATCAGCTTTGACTTTCAGCTTTTGGTACCTTCATTGATCTGAGAGTGAAAAGAACGCACAGCTTTCCATCTTTAATGGTCAATGGGATCAGAACGGAGGCTTTTGGTAGTGGTATATGAGAAAATTTGTCTCCAACATCCAGTTTCATTAACTGCAATGTGGCTTTGTCTTTCATAGCCAATCTAAAACACATGAAAAAAATATATAAACCAAACCATTTCATTTTAAAAAATAAACAAACACAATTTTTCATTCCAGGATTGTTGCTAATAAGTATAAGAAAGATATGAAACTTTATGATCTCAAATATGCTCATATTTTTGTAGATGCATTTCAATACTGCACTTTGTGTTAGTCTGCAATCACAATATTGTTACTTGGAAGCCAAGAGAATTTAAATGCTCTATTTACAACACAAATACTGGTGACCATCTATTAATACTTTCCTTAACCAAATGGGATTCAAAGAAACACACACACACACAGTATGAACAAAACTCAAGCAAGGGATCATTATGTGTTTTGTTGGGTCTATCAGAGAAGGCTTTCTAAAACTTTAAAGGAAAAAATCCTATACTGCACATAATCCCAAACCTAACAATGAAACTTTGGTTTTTTGCAGTCTCAAATAACTTCTTTTACCCGCCAAATAAATGGAGAGTAATTACAACTGCTGGATCTGTACAGAAAACTGAAAAAGAAGAAAGCATGTATTCTCAAAGGATGCATTTCATGTTTCCTGATTTCCATCCATGAGGTGAATATGTTCAGGGTCAAACATACAGGCAAGCACGACACTGACGGACTAGTATGCCTGTTGTGGTACTGTATCACACAACAAATTTTTAGACTAGTGTGCAGTGTTTAATTTGCACTTTCTTGGTCGGTGGCAGTTTGCTGTTTAATGCAAAACAAACAAACAGTTTGTGCTTCGCCCCTAAACCAAATAACTAAACCTAAATACATATAGATGTTTGTCAAGATGGAAGGATGCAAATAAACATCTTGTTTATTTCCAAAACCCCTATAAAACGGAGTCTATGAAGAGGAGCTGGACTCAATCATCCATTGGGTCCCTTCCAGCTCCACCCTAAGATTATTATCATCATTATTATAATTAGATACCTTTCCAGCCTCAGTGTTCTGGAAGTAGCAAAAGATCAAGATAAATAAATCATAAGGTTTGAACGAGTGTGTTTTTGCAGCTACTCAACCCTATTTACTTGGAATCACACGACGTTTTATTGTAAGCCACCCTGAGTAGACATTGTCTAGAAGGGAGGGATATAAATCTAATAAATAAATAAATAAAGGGACTGCCTGTCAGCTCTAAGTGTGCATAGATGATCACAGCAGGGCCATGGGCTCCATGAAATGCTGGCATTTTTAAGTTAAAAGGCACTATCGCTTTCTCGAAAACGGTCCCACTGGAAGCCGCAGAAAGGGTTCCAAAGAACCAGGAGAAGAGGAGGTCCAAATTCATGAGATGGGTTGACTCAGTAAAGGAAACCACAGCTTCGTGTCGGCAAGGTTGGGAGTTCGAGTCCCCACTTCTGCCCCATTGACAAGGGCTGGACTAGATGACCCTGAGGTTCCCCTCCAGCTGTGCAATTCTACTGGATAGATCAGGAGTTTAGGCATTGAGGTTGGGAGTTCGATTCCCCCAACTGTGCCTTCTTGATAGGGGCTGGACTAGATGACCCAAAGGGCCCCTTCCAGCTGTGCCACTTTTAAGATAAACACAACGGGACCTCACCTCTTTAAAAACGATTAAAACCAAAACATACCGTAATAATATAAGCCAAAAATTAAGGATAAGCATACCAATAAGATTTAACTAATAACTGAAACGATTGAAAGCAAGGCGGCAGGATAGATCGTAGAAGCGTCCAGAGCACCCCTGAATGAAGAGGTTAAAGATCTGGAAAGGCCTGTCTAACCCCCCCCCCCCAAAAAAATCAACACTTAAAAAAAAATACTTATTTTCTCCAGCTTTCCTAACCCAACTTTTTTTAAAAAATAAGAAATAACTCAATTTAAGTCGCCAAAGCAGTGTGCCTTAGGTCTGGACTAAATGGGCGAATCCACGGACCCAGAGGTTGGGGGTTCGATTCCCCACTTGCGCCTCTTCCACAGGGGCTCGACTTGATGACCCAGAAGCCCCCTTTTAAGCTCTGCTAAAATTGTGGGAGAA